TTTAAATTCTGCTCGATGTACCTTACAAACAAACCCTTACATCATTATGTAATAAATTGTGTTATCAAAGGAAATTTTTTGAAATTACATATCGAAATAAAGTTATAATCTAATCACAAAGTCTCAGCAAACACAACAACAAATGTCATTTAATTATAGAGTAATATTATTAACAAGCGATTGCACGCGTGGCAACAAAGAATACATTAAAAAAGTAAAAAGCTTTACCAAATTCAGTTGATATAAAATACCAAACAAAAAAAAGAAAATCAATAACAAAAAAAAGAAAATCAATAACTAAAAGATTTTTCGTAATACCCGTAATTGATCAAAAGGTATCTGACATAGCCTTCTCGATGTTTTTGTTGACAAATTACATGTACTACTTAAAGTTAAGTTTACGGTAAGACTTAATAAGTTATTAAACTTTCTAGCCAAATAGGGCGAAACTTTTAAAGAAAAAGGTTTCGCGGGTGTTAAACCAAACAAGTTTGTTATTATTTTGGATCTTTTAGATTAGTACTTTATTTCTTGCTAACTTTTTTATATAATATTTGCTGTTGTTGGAATGCATTGCAAAAAACTATTTACAAATTTTATTGCAAGTTGCCACAAAAATTGCACCAAAAATCCCAATTCTAATGATATTTTTTCAAAGAAACCAATTTTTGCAGTTATGCAATTGTGTTTTTATACCAATAAAGGCGATTTGATTTCATTTTTTACATAAATAATGAATTAGAATTCTTTTATGTTATTTTTCTATTAGTTTTGAATAGTAATTAATTTCAAATTATTTTTAGAATTAATATTTTAATTTTCAAAACTTTTTTTGGAGAATGGGATTTTTTAATCTTTAAATTGGGAATTTTAATTTTATAAGCATTTGGGAAAATCGCGTTTGACGGGGCGCCACAGGGCTAGTTTACACCCTGATATATATATATATATATACAGGGCTCGAAATAACGTACTTTTTTGTTCCGGACAGTTTGTCCAATAAATTGTTTGGTTTGTCGGACATGACCGATAAATTTCAACAAAAAATATTTTTACTATAAAACTAATATCCGATTTATTATTTACTACTGGTATGTGCGGTCATTAGTAGGGGTGCACCGATGCATCGGCCGATGCCAATTGTTTAAAAAAGTCAACTTTTTTTATTTTTTTGTTTCTATATTGTATAAAAAAATATAATAATTATATATTTTTAAAAAATATATAAAAACAAAATTAGAAAGACTCATTTTTCAAAACAATCGGCATCGGCCGATGGTTACCAAGACCGATGCAACAGTGCACCCTTAGTCATTAGTATTGCGGTGTTAATTAGATTATGAAAGTATAAAAAAAAAACGTGTTATACTTTCATGTTTAGACTTACAAGTTAAAAACTTGTGACTTTTTTGGAAAAAAACGACAACATTTCTAAAAGAATAAAAACAGTTTTTAATAAAATAATAATAATAAATAGTTGTGTTTGCTATCGCGCTAACCATTTTTACTTTAGAGTATTGGTATTAACTATCTCTATTTAACGCTATTTATTGTGCAAACGTAATGTCTATACATAAACGAACTTTTCTCATCAGGAATATGTTTGATTATAAAAGCAAGACCAGTATTTTGTATTTATTTTAAAGCTTAAAGATTTTTACACAATTAAAATATGTTTTTCTTTTAATTGTCATCAAAAAGAGATTTCACAAGATCCTCTCCACTATTATTTTCACTGTCGCTAAGGGAAGTAATTGTTCTTTTTTTGTTTACCCGATCTTTATAAATTCCCGTTGGTTTTTGGTTTGGGCGTCTTCCTTTATCACTCCACCACAATTCAATTGCAGGAAGAAAATTGAATTCTTTCAGCAATGGACCATCTTCCAAAATGCGCAAAATATTTGAAACACAAGATTCTGTCAATGAGGTTCGATAATTTGATTTGACACTATTCATCTTTGAAAACATTCTTTCCAGCTTAGCGTTAGAAATTGGCAAAGTAAACAATAGCTCAGCAACTGTTAAAATAGAGGTCCATGATTTACTTCTAGGTGATACAAATATGCGTCGCCAGGTAATTCGGTATTGCGTTTCAACTGGGGATAAAAACTCTTGAGCATAACTTAGCATTTCTTTCCATTGAGTTAAGATGTCTGGAAAAACAACAGCAGCAGAGCGTAAAGGCTCTTGAAAGTGTTTGCATATATAATTTAAAGCTTCATCGGCAAAATCTAAATTTCGCGTTATGATTCCGCTTTCAGCTATAACCTCCCGAAGCCAGCCGTTGCAATTTAATACTTGGGATGCATACTTTAAAATAAGAGTACTTTCTTTTTCGTTTTCTACACGTTGTATAATGCAGTCCCTGACTACTGTTAAATACTCCACAGTTTTTGTTTTAAAAATTTTAAACTCACGCTCAAAGTCTTTAAGTTCAATGTCATGATAATAATGTTTGCCGTTTTTTTTTTTGATTTGTGAAAGAAAATCTTTAACTCTAGGCAAATTTTCGAGACTTTTTTTCTCAAATAATACCCATCTTTCCTTTGCTTTTGTAAGACAGTTCATTACTTGAACGTGATCAACTTGATCATCCTGAAAAGACATTGAAAGTATTGAGGGAATTTCGAGTAAATCGATAAAAAATGCAAATAGAAGTGGTATTTTTCCTTTTTTCCATTTTAGGAGATACCCTTTCATTTTAGCTTTGTCAGGAGCTAAAATCGATGGGTCTTCAGCTAATTGTTCAAGATGGGTAATGTATAAACCCCATTTGTCAAGGAAAGACTTCATGGCATTAACTTTATAAGAAATCCATCGTGTTCCAGATGCTTTTTTAGGCTTGCAACTTTCATCAAGCGTATCCATCCCGTCTTTTAAAACAGTATATAACTCGCGAAGCTGTCGGAGCTTTTTTGGTGCTTTTTGGTACAGGCAATAACTTCGTAATATAATTTCATCTACAAGATCGAATTCTGTATCTTTTAAAGCATCTGCAATTGCTAACTCTAAGCGGTGTGCAACACACCAAACAAACACAAGCCGCGGACTTTTTTCGCGTAGAATGGTTTTCACACTACTTTGATCGCCTCTATTTAGTGCAGCCCCATCTGAAGTAAAACCAATGCATTTAATAGGTGTTAGCAAATTTACAAAGCATTCTTCTAAAACTTTTACAACACCTTGGGCTTTTCCAGATTCTAAATATTTTATATCTAAAAACGAAGTCCTGATTTCAACCGCATCCGACCCAACTGGCTGTGGATCAAAATATAATGCATACACCACTTCATTTTCAATTACCGAACTGTCTGTTGAACCATCACACAATACACTATAAAATTTAGCATTTCTAAGGCTATCGTGTAACGAATTTTGCAGACTTCTTGCAATATAGTCAATAAATACAACGCATTGGCGATCTGAAATATAGGATTCGCCCATATTCACACCGAAAAGCTCAACTAATTTAACAATTGGAACAAACTTTGAAAGAGGTAACTGTTGTTTCGCTATAAAGTAAGAAAGTTGAAATTTTTTAAGGGTTTTTTCAAGGTCGTTTTTTTCCATTTTTTTCAAACCATCAGTGATTGTTGCATTATTTTTACAGGGCAATAAAGGTTTAGATGCATTTTGAAAATTATTAGATTTTTTAAGAAAAAGAGTGTATGCTTTTAAGTGCGGTTGAGACTTACAATGATCAAGAATATTCGATTTTCTATAGTTTGCTGATCCAACTATGAATGTATTCGTATAGTATGGCATAGTTTTTATTGTATCATTAAACTCTGTACAAAACTTGCATTTTAAGTTTTTTACTCTTTCATTTGAATCAATGTCATAAAATAGCCATTCGCTAAATGAATACTCAGCGAGCTCCGACTTCCAAGTTTCTACTGTCGATACTGATACTTTACGAGGATTTGCCGTGATCTTACTTGTTTCTTCTTTGGCATTTTTTTCATTTATAGACTTAGCTGCAGGCGACTGTTCTAAAAGTGGTTTAAACAAAGAAAATATAGTTTTTTGAATTTTATTTTTCGGTGGCTCAACTGTTGAACACTTTGAACATAAGGCAATTCTCTTAATTTCCTCACTATAAGATAAGTCGCCAGTTTTTCCCGGAGTTGCACAAATATTGCAAACAAAAACAGCGCATTTCATGCATGTATACTTTGTATTTCTTTCACGACAAACTGAGCAAACTGCTTCCATTTTTTTTTAATATTACGCCCTAAGTTGGAATAATGACAACACATTATCATAAATATTTTAAACTTATATATATTATATGTGAATAATTATATTAATAAAATACATAATTATACTCATATAATTATACATTTTATTAATATATTTATTGTTAAATTTATAAAATAAAAACTTCTGTTCACAAAATTGAATAAGATAAGAAATAAGTTTAATTAAAAGTAACAAATAGCTTTACCTTACGAAAATTTCAAATTCAAAATTAAATCACAGTAAACAGAAAACTATTAAAAACGTAACATGTTGTATTAAATTTTATTTTTTACAAAATATTAATATTTACGGGGAAGATATTTTAAAAATGTAAAAGAAAAATGTAAAAAAAGTGTTGATGTTAACCCCCGTTAAAAAAAGCGTTGCTCATTAAATAAAATTCTTGCGGCATAATACTGTTTCCATTTTGTCTGAATTATCTCAAAGAATGACGAACTTCATCACATTGTGCACACTTTCGTTTTCTTGGGCATTTTTGGTTAAAAAATAAAATAAAAAAGAAAGTTTATATATAATATACTGAACATTTCAATAACTTTTAAATAACTAAAATAATTTTAAGAAAATTTCACAAAAAATATTAGTCGGACAAAATGACCGATTTATGATGACTTTTACCGGACCAATGTCGGACAATGTCCGATGTCCGGGCCTTATAAAATTTTAACCTACTATAAAGGTTTATCTTCTTTGGTTTACAAATTGTTAATTTTATAACTTTTATTGTTTGTTTTTAGAGTTGAAGTAATTGATTTATTAAAAGCTGATGGAACTATCACTCAAACACCTGTACATTAGTTTGTTTTTTATTATTATTTTTTTTTTCAGAGTTTGGTTTTGAACTGAAATAATTTAAATAATAAATGTAAATATTAATAAGTGGTTAATTTTAATATAAATAAGTGGTTTTTATTGTCTTTTATTAACAAATATTGTTTTATTGATAATTTTTGTTTTACTATATTTTATTAATAAATGGTTTTATTGTTTATAAGCTTCTGGCATATAGAGAGGAAGTAATACAACCAAAGTGGGCAAATAACATTATTGGAATAAGGTTAGAAATATGCTACATTATAAAAATGTTGTTTTAATATTTCCCTTTTTTTTTCTTATTATATAATAATTTATTGTGTTAAACACTGGATCTTATGATTAATATAATAATTTATTGTGTTGAACACTGGAGCTTATGATTAATAATTTATTGTGTTGAACACTGGAACTTCAATTTGGTTTTTTTTAATGGAATGCAATTTAATACATAAATTCAACTACTTATGTAAAATATTACAAGAGTTTTGTTGGTGACTTTTTTGATTTATAATTGCAAAGTTAGAGATATTTATTTTCTAGTTAATCACCTACTGATTCAGGACATTTGATTATCAAAGTATTAAATAGTTTAAATTAGGGCAAAGTGGGGTAAATAATGTGTGGAAAAATATTTTTCCACTTAAATATATATCATCAAAAAATAATCAAACTATGGTGCTTTAATAAACTGTATTTATTGATTAATTTCAAAATTTTGAATTAAATTCAAAGTTTGATTGATCTTTGTATTTGTATTTGAGTTTTGAATTACCACGGGTTATTTGATTATTTTATAGTATATGTTCAAATTAAGGGCCTTGAAAAGGTGAATATCATTAAAATGCTTAAATTAGGTAAGACAAGATAATACTGAAAGTAAATGTATTTGAACCACACAAGTTTATTAACTACAAAGTGTTCAATTTTTACATATCCCAACGCCAAGAAGGCGTTAGAAAGAAGGATACAACAACCATCTGAATTAGAAACCTTGAAAAACAAGATTTTAATTGAACTAAAGTGTGTATTCCTGTTCTAATTGTATAGAAGGTAGAGAAATCATGGTGTTTTGTTTAAATACTGTAGTTGGTAATGACTTTTTTGTTTAAACTATAATACATATGATAAAGAAATTTTTTTTTAAACTTTCATACAAAAGTGAAAGTTTCTTTATTATAGTATAAGTGGTAAAGAAATGGAAATTTTGCTTAACCGAATGTTTATTAAAAGTGAAATGTTACCAGATGGGCGATTAAGATGTATTATTCCACCATCTAGAGCAGGTATGTTAATGCAAAAATTTATTTTATAATATTGTTTAAATATAATTTTTTTTTATATTTTTATGTTTTATTATCAGACATTATTCATGCATGTGATATATATGAAGATATTGCAATTAGTTATGGTTATAACAATATTCGTAAGAGAATCCCCAACACCTCTACTATTGGATATCAAGTAAGAGGTTGTTTTTTTTATGTTTGACTTTGTGTCAGTAAATATTAACAATAAAAATCAACACTTGGCCAAGTTTTTCTAAGACATCCAATCCATGATTAGCTTCTTTTGGAATAATATTTTTGATCAGGTCTGGGCAAATACACTTAACAAAATTGTATCAAAATTGTTTTATTAAAAATAGCCTTTTTTTATTAAAAAATATCTATCATATTTACAAAAAATATTTTAAGTTTTATATTTTATTTAAGTTGCCAATAAACAAGCTGTGTGATTTGGTTAAAATGGAAATTGCATTGGCTGGTTTCACTGAAGGATTAACTTTTTGCTTGGTAATTTTTAAAATAATCTATAAAATATATTTTTAATTTTTTTTTTAATAATATTTTATTTGCACATGTCTCATAATAGTATCCACACACCTTATTGAGCCTGTTATGTGTGAGTGGCAAATTGAATATTTCAGGGAGGAGCTCAGTATATATATATATATATATATATATATATATATATATATATATATATATATATATATATATATATATATATATATATATATATATATATATATATATATATATATATATATATATATATATATACATCCATAATCATGTATAAACATACATATATATTAGGATGCATTGAAAAACAACAAATTTTTAAAATAGTCTTGTTTGAAAACGTGTTCTATATTTAAAATACTGGATACTTAAATACACTGGTTTAAATTTTTTTTTAACAAAACATATTTTTAGAGGTGCCTCAAAACCCTTAAACATTTAAAGTGTCCCTAATATATATATATATATATATATATATATATATATATATATATATATATATATATATATATATATATATATATAGTTCTATAAATTGTTGGCTTTTGAGTAGGGAAGGTAAAAAATAATTCTTTTGACGACAAATTACGTCACTTTTAATTACTTTTGACATTCATCCAACATCTCTGTGTTGTCATAAAGTTAAAACCATTAATTTAATCACTTTTTTAAAAAAACGCAAAAACACAAATTTAATTGACCAGAATGTTCTTAAAAATATAAACAATATTTTTATTTTTTAAATAAAATGTTTTTATTTTTTTATTTTTTTATTAAAAATCATGCGCAAGTGTTGCTATATCAACTATCTTATAGCCTGACTTGCAACAGAGTGCTGCTACATTGACTGACAAGTAGCCTGACTCGCAAAGGAGTGCTGCTATATCGACTGAGAGTTCGGTTTGGGCAGGCAGTCTATCAAATAATTAAAGGGAAAAAAAATGTCAAAGTGTATGTTTACCTGGTACTTAAAAGAAGCAAAATTATTAAAAATTTTGAAAACAATTGTTTCATATAAAAATATATTTTTAAATTTTATTTTATAAAAATTTTAATAAGTTTTACAAATTTTTGATAATTTTTTTTTAATAAAATTATAGCATTTTTGGTTTTTAAAATTTTTATTTAATTTTGCTTTTTTTGAGTACCAGGTTGATCTGACCTATCTTTGATTAACTTTATTTACATATGTATTAGGGATCCTTTCAATGTTTAGATCATGTACAAGGGTCTTGGAGCACCTTGTTCAAATTTTTTTTTACTCCAGTGTTATTTTATTATACTGAACACTCTTAGAGCTCAGACAAGGCAAATTTTAAAAACTGTTATTTGTCGATGTACATACAATGTACCTTGCACATACATATATAAAAGTGAAAATAACATATTTATTCTAAAATCAAATTTTTTTTTTCTTTTTTTTTTTTTGTAGTGTTCAAAAGATGACATTTCTGATAAACTAAATCATCCAGAAGGTTTAAACGAAGCTGTTCATATTGAAAACCCTAAAGGGCTTGATTTTGAGGTAATAATCATTTTGTGTAACAAAACAGTAAAAGCTTTTTAAAATGTGCCCCTTTAACTTTCAGAACAGCCTTTATGCTTCACGGCATTAAGGCTACAAAAGACTCATAATAATATTTAGGGTTATTTTATGGCACCATGCTTTCATTGTGGCTTTTTTCTGACCTGTTTACAAGTTTGGATTCTGTTTAGATATTTCTAATATTTCAATTTTGCCCAACCATTTTTGAAAGAGTTTAATCGAGATGATTTGTCTGGCCACAGGGCAAGACCGTTGGCTACATTTAGAGCCATGTTTCGACAATACTTATATGATTTTACCCTAAATCATAATTGCTGGACATTGCTTAACAGAAGGTAAACATATCAATGATTGTAGTGTAAATGTGGGTAGCTAACGAACATTGACTTTTGTATTTCAACCTGATAAACTCGCTCTTTGTCTGAGAACATGACATTTCACCGCACTCCATTAGAATGTGTTAAGTAATTAAAGTTACAAAGTTACATAACATAAAAACAATATTAGAAGTATAAATATTTTTTTAAGATTATGTTTAATAATCTTAAAAGAATATTTATTCAAATAGAATAGTACATTACCATTCATATTACATATTTTATTGTATAATAATTATAACATTAATTATTGTTAATCAGTTAAACAAAGTAACGTTATAAAAATATACAAAATAAAGTTTGAAAAATTTGGTAAAATTCTAAATTTTTTTTTATTAAAAAAAAATAACACAAGGAAGTTTGAATAAGGATAAAATAAAAACCTCGCCAACAATTGTTTTGATAAAACCTTTTATATATTTTCAAATACCTTTTATATATTTTTTATTGTTTGCAAAAAAAATATTTTGCAAATTTGTCTATTAACTTGCCCTGGAATAAAGACGGAATGAAATAGAACAATTAGAACCCTAAATAGAGCAAACCTAACAACTTAACACGTAACTGGAAAAACTCCATGCATATGCAAGGAGTTTGAATAAAGTTTTATATGGCCTGCGCAAAAAACAATCTAAACAGATTAATAAAAAATTGCAGGATTTGATAGTCATCAAATCAGTTTTAGGCTTTTCACTACCTATGCAGTTGTTTACTACTATTCTCTTCTCTCTCTCTCTCTCTCTCTCCCAATAAACTTCTTGATAAGTTCAGAAATTGATAATGCTTATGTACTAAACCTATACGTGTTTCACTTAAATTATGTTTTCTGGGAAATATAATTTAAGTGAGACATGTATAGATTTAAATGGAAAATGGAAAAAGTGTCTGTGCATCTTACTCAACTGCTTTCCAACAATATTTTGTTGCGCATTGTGTTAATATTCTAATTCCCTAACTTTCATCCATTAGATGTCATGTCATGTGTTGCGTAGTTATTAGAGATATTTTTTTGCCCAACTTTCCTCTATGCTCATCTAGCCCCGCTCTTCCCTAATATTGCAAAAAGGAAACTCATTTATACAGATATACAAATCGTAAAGTAAAACAAAATATTATTAAAAAAAAGAAAGAAAGAAAAAAAACAAGTAATTGCTTCTTTTTATTGCTTAGAACACAAGAGAAAGATACATAAAAATGAAAGTTTGTGTAGGTCAATCTTAAAAAAGGTTTTTTAAGGTTTATATATTGTAAATGATCATTTACAATAAATAAATGTTTAAACCTTTTAACCAACATTTTTTTCCCGTGAAGTTAGGAAAGTCGGATGAGAAGTCAATGGTTTTCTCAGGGCCAATGACATAATTTACACACTACCTCATTTAGAAAAAAAATTCCTCAATTTCTTATAAAAATTGTTAATTTCTTTTAAAAAAAAGAAAAAAGGTCCACACATAGTAGGGGAAACATATAGTAGGAAAAGTAGGGAAGGGGCATGCCTCCTCGGTAACAAGAGGGGCTTTGCTCCTTGTTTCTGAGGCGGGCAATCTACCATTGCGCCACGCCTGCAAAATAGCAAAGAAATATTGCATAGTTTTGGGGGGTTTTAATTATTTTTTAGCCGTTTTTAAAAATCTAAATTCTGTTCAAATGAAGTTTTCGATCAATTATTGTCGGAAAAATTATTTGATCGTCTACTTTTTAATCATTTTGAGCGCTGGTAACGTTTTTTATTTGTCACAAACAAAAAATCATAAAAGAAATTCAAATGAAAAACAGCAAAAAAGTGTCTAAATTATTTTTTATTTATTTAAATTTTTTTTATTCTTACTTTTTTAAAGGGACTTGGTGCCAGGTACTTGGTCTCGGACCCGGTTTTTACCACTGGGTACCCGTAATATACTGGTTCTGGCACATACTGGTTCCGGCACACCTCTAGTATATATATATATATGTATATATATATATATATATATATTTGTTCGATATTTATAAATATATATATATATATATATATATATATATATATATATATATATATATATATATATATATATATATATATATATATATATATATATATATACATAAATATATGTTGATTTTTAAGTTGTAGATATATATACAAAAAATAGGTTGCACGAACTACTTTACTTTCTGGTATGCTAAAGACAGTTGCAAATAATAAAAGTCATCCACTACCAGTTCAAGTTTTTGAAATATCTGATGTGGTACTATTAGATTCTACAAAAGGTTAGCCATAAATATAATTATTTTTATTCTGGTCTGTAGTTTATGGTTTAAATGTGTGGATAGTTCTAAATAACAGGGAAATATGTAAGCACATAATTAGGTTGAAAATAGTGTGTAATCTCTAGGAAAATTACGCAATCAGATTTTTTTTAATCTTGTCAAAAAAAAATTATGATTATGTTATTATTTTCTTTGATAAATGTTCAAGGTTCGATAGGGATGATGGTTTTTCTTTGATCCTGAAAAAAAAAAAAAAACAGTTAGGTTTTTGAACATGTTTTACCAATCCAAATTTAATGAAAACCATCAGATGGAATAAATTGTAGAAAGTAGCCTCTTCCATTGTAGTGGTCGTCATGGCCTTGGGAAGGTGGATTGAAATTAAAAAAAACAACATATTATTTCAGTTTCCTAACTAAATTATTATGGTTTAGAGTATCTTTTAAAACTTGACCTATTGCCTTGATCTACTTGCCAAGAAATCTTTTTATGTACATACTTGAGTAAATTCAATAAGTATTTTGAGAATTCAAGCAATAAAGCAACTATGTGATTAAGATTAACCACCATTTATAGTCTGTTTGGATAGTGGTTAGTGGAGCAATACGCTTTTCTTACAGAGCTATTCAATATTCTAATATATTTCATTTCAAGTCACGAGCTTTTTCACTCTTAATTTGCATTTTAATTTTACTGTGTGCAAAGTAAAAATATTTACATTTTACTTTTACAGTGTACGAAGTGAAAGTATTATAAGCTGATTTTCTTATAATTTCAATTTTATGGCTCTTTCAAATTTTTTTTTTATGTCTATGTTTTGATTTTTAGCTGTGTTTTTCTATATCTTCAATAGTAAACTGTGGCTAGTACTCTCAACTTTCATCTGACGTTAAAGTTTTATTTTTAAATTAATATCAGCTGAACTATTTGCATTTTTATTAATTTATAAAAAAGTCGGCATTTCGGTAGGATATATTTTGTGAATCTTCCATAGATTTTTTACTTGAGAACTTAAAATTCAAACAAATTGATATTTACATTTACATTGTCAAAGTGCATTGCTTTATCTTCAAACATTACGTCAAAAAGAGATTAATTGTTAATACAAATTTTTAATGGTACTATCATGTCTAAAGTTAAGCTTTTTTTTTAGTTTAAACCATTTAATGTTGATAAGCAATATTTTGATACGAATGTTCATCATGTTAGCATATATTTTAAGTTGTTTTATCATGATTTTTTTAATCGTAACTAGTATATATGCTAATTTTATTGAATGTTAAATTTCGTTTTGATATCAAAATATCATTGAAATAATAGTCTTTTTAACAATATTTAGACGTGGGAGCTCGAAATGAACGCCGTCTATGTGCAATCAATTGTAATAAGACTCCTGGATTTGAAGTTATACACGGATTGTTGGATCGTTTAATGACAGTACTAGCTGTAAAACCGACGAATATAGCTTCTGCTCCATCGGAAGGGTACCACATCCGGAAATCTGAAGGTTAAAACTTTTATTTAAAATAATATTTTCTAATAAGTAATTAATGAAAATAGTGAAAATAATTTTTTTTAAATTTATAAGTAGACATCAAAAAGCACTTAATGACAAATTAATGTACAGCGTATCTAATTTTTAGATTCTGCATTTTTCCCCGGTCGGTGCGCTGAAATCGTGTATAATGGAACTGTTATCGGGAAAATGGGCGTCATACACCCTGAAGTACTTCAAAATTTTGAAATTGCAAATCCTTGTGCTGCATTTGAGATAAATATGGAACATTTTTTGTAAAACATTTGCGCCTAAGATTCTTACTGTTTGGTGTACAATCAATGTGTACAATAAAATGTACTATATTTTATCACAGTAGTGATTAGTAGCGTTTTAACGTTTTTCCAATAATAATTCATCGCAATAGCGTTATGACGTTATTTATTATTTATCGCAATTACGTTATAACGTTTATCTAATTATTCATCGCAATAGCGTTATGACGTTTATCTAATTATTCATCGCATTAGCGTTATGACGTTTATCTATTCATCGCAATAGCGTTATGACGTTTATCTAATTATTCATCGCAATAGCGTTATGACGTTTATCTAATTATTCATCGCAATAGCGTTATAACGTTTATCTAATTATTTATCGCAAATAACGTTATAACGTTTATCTACGTTATAACGTTATTTGCGATAAATAATTAGATAAACGTAATTTATCGCAATAGCGTCATAACGTTTATCTAATAAATAATTAATAAAATAGTAAATCTGTTTATTTTTATTATATATCTTATTCAATGATATACAGTATCGGACAAAACAAGTGCAACCAAATAATGCTAACTTAGTTTCTTTATATAAAGGTGCTGCATTTTTTCAATTTAGAGAAATAACTATGTAATTGTTTAGAGATAACATTCTTCAAGGTTTATTCATCACAAAGTTCATTATTTGTACACAAAAATTAATAAATTAATCAAGTATTGAAAAAAGTTGATTTCCTTCTTGACAAAACAAGTGCAAATCCACAAAATGCTGACCAAGCTGTATTTCGCTTTCAATATTTCGTGGTGAATCCTTTGTTGTTAATCATAGCCTTGCATCTTCGAGGCATAGATTCGATCAGGTGATCAATAAAACTTTGTGGAATCGCTGCCCAGACCTTTTGGATTAGTTCAAACAATTGATCCTTATTACGAACACTTTCACAATTAATTCTGCGGTTGACGATCTCCCACAGGTTCTTGATAGGGTTGAGATCCGGAGATTGAGGCGGCCAATCCATCACCGATAAGTGGTTTCTTGAAGCCATTGCTTAACTACTTTTTCAGTGTGTTTCGGATCGTTGTCTTGCTGAAAAACTCATTTTATTGGCATATTTCATTCAGCATGAGGTAACATAACATCTTTCAGGATATTTTTATACATAAAACGATCCATTATTCCATCGATTCGATGTATTGGACCTAAATCATTAGCACAAAAACACCCCAAACTATTACATTGCCTCCACCATGCTTCATAGTCTTATGGCAGTAACGTAAATCGAGGCGTTTTACGGCCGGTCGACGTACACGGCAAATGTCATCGCTCCCAATGATGTTGAACTTCGATTCATCACTAAACAGGACAGTTTGCCATTTGTACACATTCCAGTCAATATGAGATGTAGCAAACAGGAGTCTTTTCTTCTGGTTCTTTAGTGAAATCAGCGGTTTCTTTGCAGGGCGTCGAGAAAACAATCCGGCTTCAACAGCACGTCATCTGATTGTTCAGTCCGATACAGGCAGCTCTAATTGCTTTTGTATCTCGACTGATGATATCCAGGGATCCTTCTTGACGGATCTGAAAATCATAGAATCCTCTCTAGAAGTGGTAGAACGCGGTCTTTCATCTTTGTTATCTGCTGCCAACTTCCCCGTAGAACGATATTTGAAACATAGTCTTGTCACGGTCCTTTTTTTCACGCGATATTTATCACAGATACTTTTTTGTGACACTCCACTTACCTAATCGCCAATAATTTTCTTTCTTAGTTCCAATCCAAGACTGTCGGGAGCCATTTTTGCACTTGAAGTTATAAAAATAATTAAAATAAATAATCATGCTTCTCCAGGCTTTGTGTATTACATTTACCTTGTGATGATACAATAATGCTCTGTGGAGCACAATGTCTTGGGTTGGATGTGAACTGTATTGACGTAATGAAACACTTGTTGTATTTCATTTCTTGTATTGTTGTTCTTCGATAAAACACTTTGATAAAACTCACTTCGATAAACTGTCTTGATAATACTGACTGGTTGACTTCCATATACTGACTGAATTACATGTCGGTTCACATGTCTCTTATATAAAATAAACCTGTGTGAATCTATTCTGGAATATTCTAGATGCTTCTTTTTGATGCTTCTGGATGCGTTTGGATGCTTCTGATGTTTCTGGATACTTCTGGATGCTTCTGGATGTTTCCAGATGCTTCTTCTGGAAACTTCTGGAAACTTCTGAATACTTTCCTTAATTATTAAAAAACTTCCGTGACGTTGACACTGACCAGAGTTAAGAAAATGAAACACCAAAATAGTTGCACTTGTTTTGTCCGCTGCAAAACGGCACTTGTCAACAAAACTCTGTCTGTGTGCTATAACCTGTCAGCTGATTACTCTTGTCATGGCATGCTATGACTCCAGACTCCTGAACTGTTTGCTGTGGTAGTATAGTTCATTTCGTTTTTAAGACATGTAAAATTAGAAACACTTTTTAACACTGCTCGATGTTAGTTGCAAATGTTTTGTCTAATACTGTATAAGGAATATTATGATATGTTAAAATATAATGACATTTTTAGTTATTCTTAATATACCATTGAGTTGATTTATTATTTTGTAATTTTGCTCCTTCATAATGACTGATTTTGGCTTAAAAATAATCTTAGAAGTTAGATATCTCTAGATATCTAACCTCTGCAATTATTTTTAAATCAAAATCGGTCATTACGAAGGAACAAAATTACAAAGTAATAAAATTCGGACAAATAAATAAATAAATGAAAGTTAAAATAATTTTAACTTCTCGAATTTTTTTTCTTTCAGTCCAATAGGTTATAACTAAAACTAAGATTACTAAATATACAGAATGTGATATAATGAAAATTATATACTTGAATGAAAACATAAATATATTTTTCTTTCCGTAAAATTTGTATCTACATTAAAAACATTTTGCGCCATGCATTTTTGTACCTTTGGCGAGCCATTAATGATACGCTAATGGTCTGGCAATGGCTAGCCAGTTCTGGTTCGCCAGCTAAGGCCCTTAACTGGATCACTTGTGTTTTGCCGGACCTGGCTTGCCAGCTCTGGCCCATTAATATACTGCTGATTGGGCAAATATTTTAATTCATTACAAAAATACAATACATGTATTACTTCGACGCGTTTTATGAGATGATGGTTTGCGGGCGTCTGAAAATATTTCGCTACTTATAGCAAAATCCACATACTCTCATAATTGCAAAAAGAGGGCTGTTTGCTTGCTATATTTATATTTTCGTTAAACTGATTATCTCAGCTATTTTTAATGTTTATAAATTAGTATGTTTACCAAAATCAAGAGAACGGTTTCATAGAGATAACGGTATTAGTGTAGTTAAGTTGTGAGTTTATCTGCAATGAACAATACTCCATTCGTAACTCTATACTGACAAATGCTGGATAAATGGCATATTTTAAAGTGATTTAATTAATTTTTTTTTCAAAAAAATTTAATTAAATATTTAGTAACATAAGATTGTTTTATTTTTAATAAGTGCAAACTTATCAATAAAAATATTTATATAACAACCTATTTGTTATTTATATAATAGTTTAATATTTTACAGAATACTCACATGAATTAGACAAAAAGGTGAATAATAAGAGGGCAATAAAAGTCAGAAAGAAACAAAGGTAGAGTGGTAAGACTTATTAAAAAATATATTCTTATATTTTGCTCTAACAACTGTTTTACTTTTTCTATCTGACTAAATTTTACCAATCTGCCTTTGTTTCTTTCTATACATATACAACTATTTCTATACATAACCAACTATCTAACAACAAGTATACATAAATAAACAGGTACACTGTTAAAAAAATAGCATGTTTTTTAAACAATTGTTTATGTATACTTTTTGTTGGATAGTTGTTGTTCGATAGTTGTTTATGTATACTTGTTGTTGAACCATTAAAAAATAAGAAACGTGTGTATAAATGTATTTCGAAAAGAATAATGCTAGAAACAGGGTTTATAAAATAATCTCTCAAAAAGCTTAAGATATTAGTGCAAAAAGAATTTATTATAATTTTGATAATCTAATAAACAAGTGGGCTGCCAAGGTCCACAATGAAAGGAAAAAAAATTGTGCAGAAAACTTTCTAATTTAGTGTTAGAAAAGATCAGAATAGATATCAATAGTTTACATGCAGTAGAGTTGCACTATTGTATACAAAACGTTAGGAAAAAAAACGTCCCCCGGACGTTGCATGCCCAGTGGGCATGCAACGTCCGGGGGACGTCCGTCAGACGTCTTACAGACGTCTGGAAGTCGTCCGAATAACGCGTGCCAAATAGGAGTGGGCACACGTCATCTCAAGGACGTCCGATAGACGTCTCAAGGACGTCCGATAGACGTCTAAAGGACGTTCGCTGGACGTCTTAAGGGCGTCCGCTGGACGTCTCAAGGGCATCTGCTGGACGTCTCAAGTATGTTCGCTATATGTCTCAACGCATGTCCGCTGGGTTTAAAAAAGAATATTAATTTTCACAGCCCATTGTTAATAACAAAATTTATTGCGCACTTTGGAATGAATTTATGGCTGGTAGAGGTGCTAATGAAATTGTAAGTTGTCTGTATAAACTAATAAAGTTAATTATTTATGATTGTCATTTTATAATTACTCATATGATTTTATGATTCTTGTGTTTCCAATAATAAAAATTCAATTATGTTTAAAGCAATAAAAAAAAAAATTAATTATTTGAAAATCAGACAAATGTAGATAAATCGTGTTAATAAATAAGAGAGCTGGAGCAAGCAGAAGACATCATCGAGCCCCATTTACATTGAAAAACCGTCAGTTTATATATAAAAATGAAAATTTGCAACAATAAGATATTAAATAAAAATTAGAAATAGTAAAAATGAAAAATAGGTAAAAAATAAAAATTAGTTAGACGTGTTGAAATATAACGCAATATATCAAAGATTTTTTTTTTTTTCGACAAAAAGTAAAATTAAACTAAAATTGCAACAAAGGAGAAGTGTCAATAAATATTTTTTTTTAGATAATTTATATTATTCATGTTTTTTTTTTTA